TGATCTTCAGACATCGATGATAAGAAGATTGGGGTGCGCGATAGACTTACCTCCGCGTGGTGCACCCTGGGCAACGTATACTTATACGGCAAAAAAGTCTATTAATCCGCAGTTGACTTCTGACTTCAAACTACCAAGACCCCACTGCATTTCATATTCAACTAATTCACGGTACTCACTTCACCTTTTTTCTATCTTTGTGTCCGTCTGTCTCTTTTACGTCTGTGAATCATTATTCTGTCCCCCTCTCGACTTTTTGCCACTTTGATGTTCCTCCTCTTTTCTGTGAAGCCGGAAGTCAACTAAAGGGCTAATGATACCTATCATAGCGCCTGCCATTTGAAATAAATAAATATGATAAGAAGACTAAAATTTTTATTTTAGGTTACTAAGTTGATCTTGAAGAAGAGTGCACTAGACTTCTATCCAAAATTTGAACCGTTGCTACTAAGCTTCATAGTAAAAAAGACAATAACCATCTCGGAGATTTGGTGGGAAACTCTCAGCCAGTTCAGCATGAGAATGGTTAAGTAAGAACACAAACAACTCGAGCAAAAACTGACAGCTTCGAGGTAAATCGAAGAGAATGCGGATTGAAAGTGAACCACGATTCCTAATAATCCGAACCCCCCAAAACACCTGGAGGGCTTGCTGGCCTACTATTAATAACTCCATGGAAAAAAACTTACCATAGAAGTCCTTCAGCATTTGCTCCTTCTCAGCCCATCGATCTTGTAACCACTTGGCCAAGGGCGAGGGTGTAGAAGAGACTTCCGATGAGTCATCTCTGGTGACAGCGGGTTTATCTGCTAGAGGGGGGAGCTGATTAGCGGCCCATCTACGAACATAAAAGTGGACCTCTTGTGGGCAATCCCCCAGGGCCATTTTCAGTTCAGATTCAGTGATGGCGTAGGGGTAGGCTACTGTGACATCGTATACATAGCCAAGATCTGCAATACAAATGTGAAATAAGATCGGAGTCCACGTGGTGGAGCCAGGAGATGATGATTGAACAACTTACTAGGCCCGAGAGCCCTGACAAAGCTTTCAAAACCCGTTGTGCGTGGATGGAGAGTGTAGCGATAAAGAGGAAGACACATTTTCTTGGCATAGGCATCACTTCGTGTGAGGCCGTAGGCACTCAAGTCTGTGCCTTCAGGAAACATAAGAACCTGAAGTCCAATGGAAGAAAACGAAAATATTCCAAACACACAAACAGTCATTATAAAGCTATTTAAAACAAAAATCTACCGGAACTACATAATTCCTTATTACAGACGATTCAAATTCTGGAATCCATGAGCCTTAGCCAAACTGTTATAATCACTAGTTTAATATAAATTATAGTCATTGTGTCAGCAATTAGGAGAACAAAAAAATTTATTTCAAAAAATGTTCCTATGTTCGTTTTCCAAGTCAAAGGCACCCCACCAGCAGTAGATGGAGTCACTAAAAAGGCAATTATTAACGGCAACCAGTTGTAACCAATCAGATTGCTTGAAACAAGTCCTTAAAATCGAAAGCAATTATAACTGTATTTTACTTTGACTACTGAAGTAATGCCCCCCTTGAGTGTGGAAATTCAGCTGACGATATTTAAAATAATTTTCTAAATAGACACACTTTTCCAAACCTCACACGCATATCAAGATTCTATCGTATTTAATTATCCTGTCAAAGATTCATTTACCTACCACAATGAACAATGAATAACCCAAAAAAATCGCTTCCCCACTAACTTCATCACCAAACTCATCCCCATTGCAATTACTTCGCATTGAGTAGGAGTTGGGACAGAATAGAGGTGTCCAAATATTTTCCAAAGGAATGCACTTTCATTTGCCCATATAGAGCACATCAGTTTAATATGAAATTTGAGATCACTTGTTTTGATCTTTTCTTACAGAGAAAGCTTGCAAAAGAACCTCAGCTTCAGAAATAGTAATCTAAGGGAACGAAAGAGTGTTTAATAGGTTAATCCTCAAGCCCCCAATCCTCAAAGAGATTTGAAAGACTCGCCAAAGAATCTCACTCCACCAACTGGCGTATGCAATCGATATCATTAGCTGGAGGCCGGAGAGGAAACCAATAAAAATAAAGCATAGAGGAGTTCTTATTAATTTAAGACAGGTGATAATCAAATCACTCAATATTATTATTATTATTTCAAAGTTATCATTAGCCATTTAGCTGACTTGGGGCTTCACAGAGGGAGTGGAACATCAAAGTGAGATAAATTCGAGAGGGTGAACAGAAAAGTGATTCACTGATGTAAGAGACAGACAGACAGACACAAAGGTAGGGACAGAGGTGAGGTGAATACTGTGGAAGTAGTCGAATATGACATACGGTGGGGTGATGGTAGTTTGAAGTCAGAAGTCAACTGCCGGTTTATAGACTTTTTTTGCTTTATTAGTATACGTTACCCAGGGTGCACCACGTGGAGATAAGTCCATCGCACACCCCAATCACTCAATATAAAATAATGATTAATATAGCTATAACACGTCACAGCCAAGGCAGTGTCGAGTGGAGGAGGGTGTGGCAATCACTTCCTTCAATGGGCTTGGTAGGCCATGGCGTAAGAAATACGTGTTCCAA